ACATTTTTTACGTTGAAAGTTTTGGACCGCACTTGACCCATAAGAGAAAAATCGAAAATACTCGCGACTATTTTCTGAATCACTTTTAATGATCGAAAACTATATATAAATCGCAAAATCGGAGATGTAAACTTTAATAACAAAATTCCGCGTTGAATACACACGTCGGGATTAAAAAGTGTCGCGGCAATGTGCACGATGGACGCATCGTAGGTATACGACTATACGCAGCGTACACTTCGGAATGCTTTCGGTGTGTAAACATATTTCCTATTTGTATTCTATCCGGATGGAATCCTGTATTCACCGAGTCGTGCGCGGCGAATTCATCCCCGTTTCATCCTTCGATTCCACCTCGCGACGCATGTTATCCAGAAATGGAGGATGAGGCGAAGAGACAGAGTGAGACGACTTGCACACTTCATGTATTCGTGTCGTACGTGCGTACGTATACGCATCGGGGATATGTGTGTACACGTGCGTACGTACGCGTATATGCGTCGCATTTGCTCCCGTAATATTAAATGTAAGAGAGGACATTTCAATATTGGTCTGCAAACACACAAATAGCAGCCGTATACGTTCTTCCGCCTGCATCGTGTGCACACATGCCCGTGCCGCTGCATATCCCTACGCAATCGTCCGGGATCTCGCGGAAAGGCCCGAGAAAAATGCTGTCGCCGCGCCTACTGACAGGCGGAATGTGTCGCCCGAAGCTTTCGCGAGATACGAACACGATTTTCCAAAGCGTAAAGAAAATTCGACACTTCTCCCGTACATCCGTCGATCGCGCGTAGCTTCATCTGGATTGAATCAGTAGATTGGAAAGCAACGTAAAAGGACACTTTGTATCTCGCACTCATTTAATTTGTTATCTGCCTTCGCACTTTGATCTTTAATATATGCGTGTTTCACATGTGCATTTTATAAAACAAAATTTGTGATTTAATTAATACCGTACAGTTCTTTCCTTAAAACATGTAGTTATATAAAAACAAATTATAAAATAGAGATTTTACATAGAATTGTGTTAGATTCACAATTTATATAGCAGATTCTATCCTTTTTCTCTTTCACGATTAAAAAGCGGGAAATTACAAGCGGGATATGCATTTAATAGCTTACTTATCTCGAGCCTTTACTTGGCCGTCGATGACAGATTTCTCAATGAGTTTTAAACCGATTTTTCTTCGTCAAAAATCTGCTTGCTTTACGTATCAAAGTTCGTGAAAGTCGTTAATTGTCATATACTAGGAATATCGATCGACCTAGCGCGAGAGGGCCGTTGTTATTCACCTATTATTTTTATTCAGCCGTGTATCTCGTTGCATATCCCGTGGATGTAAAAACAAAATGCATCAGCAACAACTATATTTAATAAAAACAAGACATTATACTATCACCGAAATAAAACATGGAAATAGAAGCAGTTTTCGTAATTTTATATACGGGAGATACGATATTAAAAATTGCGCTTGAATCGATGCAATCCATCTCTTGTGTTCCCTGTGCATCATAAAAATACGGCCTGAACTTAAACATTTACGCATTTATATTGCATCGATTTTCGAAGATAGAAAAGCAGCGTGAACATTTTCTCAAAATACACAATTTTTTGTTTTAACAAGAAGGAGAGAAAGAGAGAGATGTGAGAGTTATTATCTTTAATAACTTTAAGGACGCAAATCAAATTTGAGAAAACGATGTGAGATGTGCATGCGATTACAAATTGACACGATATATTTATCGTAGTCTCAAGTCTTAAATTATACCACTTTTAAAAGCACGAAAAGTCAAATACACGTAAATATCTAGTTTCGAAGAACGAATCATTTTTCACTGGAAAATTTTACGGCGGAAAGATAGAGATATCGCGCATTATCTATTCTACTACCCATTTAAAATATTCCTGACTTCGACTACCCGATCGATACGGTAAACTGGGATTATGAAAAGTTGAACAGGGTATTATGTCAATGGCTTTTAACGCAAATGTCTCTTCATGTTCTCTCTAACGTTGTATGTGCCGATCATTGCAGTTAAAGCGGCTATGTGCTGATTATTTAACATTTATAAGAAACAAGTTCACACGGTGCATCACCGTCATCTTGAGAACCGGGTCCCACATGTTCAAGATTTAATTGTTCATCATCGCGTCCCTCTTCGCAGCCTCTATGAATATTTTAAGTGGCTATTACGCAATACGCCGTAAAAATGTCATCGTTAAATCAATGATAATTCGCGTTTACTTGTTAATTCTACATTGTTCTTTACGTTTCACACGTATACGCGATAAAATGAGAAGTTACGACACCAACCAGACAATGGGACATTAAAACAAACGTTAGTAAAACCCGTAAAATGGAGAGAAAAAGACATTAATTATTTTTAATATTGATGTGCACGCGTTAAAGAACCTTCCCGTCATAATTAAATTCCAACAACATGCGCACACGATAGTAATTATTAGAAATATTAAATTAAACTATAGACAAATAGTAAAACATTAACATTCCAATTTCTTAAAGAAGTAAGAATTTTACTTTTTAAAAATAATTTACAATCAAGCATCAACTTCAAAGAAATTATGAATAGTTAAATCTCAGCAGAGGCTGAAACGTAATGAAATTATATATTTCCCGAGTTGAAAAATAAATTTCAATAGGCGTGCGGAAGCTCGTTTAGGAGTTTGTAGAGGGAAATGCTTGATACTAAGTTCAAATAAAAATTAATTAGGAAAGAAAAAAACTTCAATTAACAGTATAACAGCACGACAAATTCCAATTGTATATTCCACTGTGAATTTAACGAAATTAAATTAATAACTTTAAATATAAAAATTGTGAAGCATCTAAAAATCGTGTGATATATTCTTCACATATTTGCTGTTCGCATGAAGGGCAATTTTCCGGATAGCGGATAGATAATGTGTTAGGCCCATACTCTTCGCCGGGTATAACTTTTTCGCGTCGGTGCGCTAACAATGCGCACGTGATTCCATCGGGATAACAATACGACCGTGCGCGCGCGTTCCTTCCCGGTCGGCTTACGGGAAATTGTAGATGAGGCACGATTACGTATTCCGATCGTACGCGATATCAGTCCGCCTCGCTTCTCACTCGTGATGGAGTGTTCTCTACCCTCGACCCTTACTCTCTCTTCCGTTTCTTTCTCGTCTATCTACCAAATACTTTACCGAATTCTATCCTAGGCGAGTTCTTTCCTTACCAGGACTATCTCGATAAATCGCAGTGCGAAGTTAAAACGCTCACATTCTATTCTTATTACACGTATAAAATAAATTTTATGTTAATAAGATTTAGATGTTACAATTCTAAGTTACGCAGTTAATACCGTAAAATTTTGCCTTAACTAGAATGCAACGATAGAAAACTGTTCTTTAAATGTATCAATTGATCGATATTAATTAGTAAAATCAAAAATTGAATAGAAGATGTAGGAGAAAGCTTGAAAATGAATAATTAAGATGAGTCATTGAGAAATAGCTATATATTAATTCAGGATTAACATTTCTAATTAAGAGCGCGAGACAAACTTCCATTTTAATTACGTCACTGCCCGTCTCCATCATCTCTTTCCTCCACGATCAATCAGAGTCAAGATCATAATACGCTTGCCGAAAACCGCCACGTATGGCACGTGAACCTACTCGGGCGGGTAACAAATTCCGAAATCGGCAGCCGGCGAAAATTCGGCGGCCTGCGAAATTAACAGCCGCGCCGGGTCACGCCGATAATTGCGGGCTCCGTTTTAACCCGGGGGCCGTAATAACCAAACGGAACCCTTTAACCGTTTCGCGCACATGTTTCGTTCGTTCGTTTGTTCGCTCGCAAGGGAAACAACGCACCGATCCGCACACGATATTTGTCTTCCGGGAGGAAAAAATATTCAGAGTTTACCGGGAATTTCGAGGTAAACCAATCCGCTCGTTCGTGTAGCGCGTTTTCGTTCTCGATGCAGCCTATCGCGATTCATATACGATCGTCAGATAGAATAATACGCCGCACTTGCGTATTGTTTTCGCAATAGGTGCCGCACATCTTATCGCTCGATCGTAGCGTCGCGACGTCCTTCACAATTTATTGCACTAGACCCCGCTTATCTCACTCATAATCATCCCCTAATTATAACCGTCATCGTCGATAAAATGTCAGAAAGATTGAAAGCGAACGATCGACCCTAACGGCAGTCCCCCGTTCTACGCCCCATTCTCGATTCCCGGTATTCGCCGGTGTGTTTACTTTACGAATGGGTAGGGCGGCTCCTTCGTGAGTGGAGAAGGTCACGGGGTTTGAATTATACCGGGCCGGTAGTGACGTCGGCGAAGATAATCACACGTCTCGCAACGGTCAGTTCATCATCGCGGTATCGGGCTCTAAGGGGGCTGATGCATCGTGGAAAACCCGGCACGAACCCCGAGAGCCGGACGGAAAACGGAATGTACGAGTCAGGGTGGGAAAAGGGGTGTAGGAAGGGTGAGAGAGAAAAGGGCGACACGAAGAGGTCGACCTCTCCCAGCCCTAGCTCAACGTCTCTGTAGGACGTGGTAGGAACTCTATTAGCGGTGGAAAAATGAAGTAAAAGACGCGACGAGCGCCAGAGAATATAGACGTCCACTCAAACGTGATTCCGGCGGAGCTCGTTACCGCATACATATATTACTATACTTTTAAATTTAATTGCACAAGACGGAGATTGCTCAGAATGCGGTACACTAAAGAAATTCAAGATTATTAAAAAAAGAATGATAATAAACAATGGTAATTAACGTAATGAAATTCAATATGTGAATAACTGCATATAAATACCTAGTATAGTATCACGAAAAGATAATTTCTCGTATATATCAGGCTTATAAAAGCGCTATTATAATCTTAGGTCAAATAATATTAGGTCAGATAATATTAGGTAAGATATTGAATAAGATAATATTAGGTAAGAACATATTGTTGATGGAATATTCTACGTTTGCATTTCAGGTGCCTTGCAGATTACCGAATCCGACGTAAGCGATCAGGGGAAGTATGAATGCGTTGCTAACAATTCCGTAGGCACAGAGTACTCCAAATCGACCACGTTATACGTAAAAGGTACGTAACTATTTACAATTTAACTGTTTACAAAAGCTTGCACGTGAATATTGCAGTGTATATTAAATTAATTAATTTTCGAGCGTATTTCATAATTACAGTTAATAAATATAGTTTTTTATTGCCTTATTAAATGCGATATAAAAAGCAAAAAGAAGAAAAAATATTCTAATGAAAATCGGCGAATCTGAAGCCGCAAAGGACGATGTTTTTGTTGACCAAATAACGAACGCAGCGTGTGCTCGTCGCACAGTCACGCCAATGCCATAAACGTAGACGTTTTCCTGTTTGTAATTAAAATTAATGCAACGCAATTAGGACGTAATTAAAATTAACGGGCGGCACAAAAGGCTCGCGCGACTCACATAGCGCGTGTTATTTGTCGAGACTTTCTGTTCCTTGTATTCTCGCCGCGATCTTGAATCTCTATATATGGTTGTGTGTTTCCGTTTAATCGTCAGCCACGATTTATAAAATCTGCGCGATGGCTTTACAAAGTAATTATTTTGCTATGCTTCGCGAATTTTCACCGCGGACACAGTTAAGTTGTCGTCGACGTAAGACGCGCGCACGTAATAATTATGCTTTAATTGGATGCGCCATTACGCGCGTTTGCATTTCGATTTAATGTCACTCGTAAATAAATAAAATCACAAGTGCTCAATTTTCACATAATGTAACTTACATACTGCGAAGGATCATGCAATATGAAGGTATATTATGTACAAGATCTGACTTTTCGCATCTTTCTTATTCAGAGATGTATGATTTATTTTTCAATTTAAAATTAGATTTGTTCAACAAACATGATTGGCAGATTTTTTAAATAAGCGATTAAGAACTTAAAAATTTTCACGAATTAAACTTCTGCATGTAAATAGGTAATCAAATATTGACTTTTGTATCTTGCTTTAATATAAAGCTAACATCAAGTCGAGATTAATCTAAATTTAAAAAGATCGAAAAGTTGAAAGAAATTAGATTGAATAAAATTTAGTCGATAAAAGATATTTATCCTGACGACTGTGCTGTGCTTCAGTACGTCGTGTTTCACCAAGCTTCTCGATTCCACCACCGGCGGTGAGCGAGGTAATGCTGGGTGGGTCACTGAATCTCACCTGCGTCGCCGTGGGTGCGCCTATGCCCTACGTCAAATGGAGAAAGGACCCGGCGACCGATCTAACGCCGGAAGACAACCTGCCGGTCGGCAAAAATGTCCTGATGCTGGTGGACATCAAGGAGTCCGCCAATTACACGTGCACAGCCGCCAGCGATCTCGGTGTAATTGACGCGACTACGTTGGTGAAAGTTCAATGTTCGTATCAAATTTTCGACTTGTGAAATCCCTTCTTTAATTTAGATAGATTCTATAGACATTTTATGGATTTTCACATTTTCTGGCTCACTTTATCGCGGATTACGTGATGCGAACCGATTAATCGCGCGTTGCGTTCACCAGATAACTAATCGATCAGCAAGCTTAGACCTTGCATTATAGCAGCAACAACCGCCATGAAGCAATTTACCACGGAGAGCTATTTGGCAAAGGATCTTGATGAGGAAAATATTTTTACTGTTACACATTACAGCCAAGAAATTTAGCGTTTGCAATATTTCTTTCTAGAAGTTCTTAAATATCGCGACGATTTTACACTCATTTCGGAATAAATGATTTCGTATTCTGTGAGACTTAAACGTGATATTTATGAATTGAAATGATGGAGAGGTAAAGCCGTAATAATCCCCCCGCAGCTCTTCCCGGCCCGCCGGAGAACGTTCAAGTGTCCGACATCACTGCGACGTCGGTGAAGCTGAGCTGGTCCTACAAAGGACCGGATGAGCTGCAGTATTACGTAATTCAGCATAAACCGAAGCACGTGAACCAGGCATATGCCGAAATATCCGGTATCACGACGATGTACTACCATGTTAGGAGTCTCAGCCCGTATACGGAGTACGAGCTCTACGTGATAGCCGTAAACAGCATCGGGCGTGGTCCCCCAAGTGCCCCGGTGATAGTCACCACTGGTGAAACAAGTCAGTACTATATTATTGTATTTTTACTATCGTATACTATTCTCTAGCCATTTTTATACTTCTATTGTGGTTAGAAACGATTATTTTCCTTTTCAAAATATATATATAGTTCACGCTTCCAATTTCGTAACATTTATTAGTTAATTTATTAGGAAAATTGACTTTTCTAAGAAAATCTTTATTTGATATTGCAATTTATATCGAAATAGATCAATGTGACTAACATCTACAAATGTCATAATTAGATTGCCCGTATAAAGAGATTTTCCCCTAATTCGCCGTTTCCGTGCCAAATTAACAAATGAGGGAAAATATCGTTTCTGCAGAAATATGTCTTATTTTATCAACATTCTTCTCTCGTCAGTCTCGAACTCATCGTTCGATCAAGCTTAACAAGACGTAACAACATCTATTAAATCAATCATCTTTGACGTACACGAAAACTTTATTGGGTCGTCTATATCACGACCGCTACGACAAAGTAAACCCACTTATGAATCAACTCACGTTTCATTTCTGCGCCTCGCAATGAACATACGTACGTGCGTCTCGCGGCAAGCTTATTCGCCGCTCATTAAAACGCGAACGCACTTCGACGTCCGTGCTTTTTTGCGCGCATCCATTCGCGATGATCGGAGAACAATAAATACAAAGGCGTAGTGGAGGAACGGCACTACTCCGACATGAGCGTGAATTTTTGCACGTAGATAGAATTTTTGTACATACCATCGAGAAAGAGGAGCGAATTTTTACGCAGATTTTTTGAGGGAAATTCTGTATTTTTTCCATGCTGTCCGCCGTGGACGCACGATTTGATCCATGTAAGTGACAAGAAAATTTTTTTCACCTATCACCAAACCTCCTCCCTTCCCTATCTGCTCTTTGTTGCACCAGTGTGTTAGTGTTTTTGCGGGGCCGTTCCACAGCGTTTCATCGCGCTTCGACGTCTCGTGTCATTTGTGTATTTTTTACACTATATCCTCATCCCCTATGTCTCCCAGCCTCTCACTGCCACTTTCACTTTTCTCACTCTCTCTCTCTCTCTCTCTCTATCTCTTTCTTCGTCTCGAATACGCGTCTCCGTCTCCCTTTTTTCTTTTTTGCAAAAGAGGGGAGAGGAGCGAGAAACGAGTACGCGGGAGAGACAGCACGCGAAATTGCACCTTTCCTAACAGAATAGTAGCACACTTCTCACCACGTGAAAATACGAAGGCGACATGTACCGCTCTCGTAGTTCGTATTTTCACTCCGCATTTATTGCCCGCATTTATATACCGAGAATTGACAATAATCGTTTGACATTTGTTTTTTTTTTTTGCATAGCGGAATCGACAAATGGAGGTGCCAGTAAGTCAAATCATATACTAAGAGTGCCGTAGTGATTCATTCACACCGATTTCTTTGCCTGTGTAGTTCTTGATTTTGGTTTCCTCTCGTTTCGTTACTTCGCGCACACATGATTGTCACTTTAGCTGACACAAATACGTATATATACATACTTTGCCACCCTTAATGCGTGTATATCGATACGTGCGCAATTTTCGTCTGGATATCTTTGTAGTTAATTGCGTACGGTGTAAATTTTTGAAAATATATCCATTTATCACCGTAGTGTCGTAGTGACGTAAAATGGAATTTAATTTCGTTCTTCTCTTCCCTATTTTTACATCGCACCTACTCTTGGTTCTTATAGTTTTTTTTTAAGGGTTTCTTTTCGGAGAGCTTCTTATCGTGTGACTAACTGACATGTACCGCCCTTCCGCGCCTTCGTGTGTATCTTGGTTGCTCTTCGTCCGGTCTCCCTAATAACGCTAAAAACCGGCTAATCTCTTTTTTAGAACCCGGTACAGCGCCGCGGAAAGTTCAGGTACGGCCGTTGAGCTCCAGCACGATGGTCATACAGTGGGACGAACCGGAAACTCCGAACGGTCAAGTGACGGTCGGTGTCTTTTTCGAAATTATCTTTCACCGCGGTTTTCCTGACTTTCGCAACGTTATCGCTAACGAGCTCGCGATATGTTCCTTCATAGGGATACAAAGTGTACTACACAACGGACTCGAATCAGCCCATGGCGTCGTGGCAGTATCAGATGGTGGATAACAGCCAGTTGACAACCATCTCGGAGCTGACGCCGCACACGATCTATACGATAAGAGTCCAGGCGCTCACCAGCGTCGGTCCTGGACCTCTCAGTCTGCCGGTGCAAATCAAAACACAGCAAGGGGTACCGAGTCAACCGGAAATGCTAACGGCGGTCGACATCGGGGAGACCAAAGTAACGCTCCAATGGAGCAAGCCCGCTCATAGCGCTGAGAATATTCTCAGCTATGAGCTGTACTGGAATGACACTTATGCAAAGGTAGGCAGTTATACATTTTTTTAATGTCAAAATAAACTTCTTTTTAACGATAACTTGTTCATCCCTACTTTACATTCACATGCCAGGCATCGGGCATTAATGCTTAATAATATATCCCGTATATCCTTTATTTTCTCCTAATGCTATGTTAATTTGAAAATGATATTGAAGGCAATAAATAAATTTTTTTCATCGCTCGGGAATAGAATGGACCAAAGTTCGAGAGATAAAAAATTTTTGGGTTTTTATCTAATGACGATGAGTAATCTATGGATCTAACCCTTCCGGCATTTCTGCTCGAATCAGGAGAAGCATCATCGCAGGATACCGGTGACCGAGAACTACACTTTGAGCGGCCTGTATCCGAACACCTTGTACTACGTATGGCTGGCCGCGAGGAGTCAAAGGGGAGAGGGTGCCACGACGATACCGTATCCGGTTCGCACCAAACAGTACGGTAAGCAGAACGCGCACGAATGCATACGAAATCGAATGAGTTCATGCAGCGAGGAGTGCCAGACGCATGCTGATACGCGATTGTCGCGAGGCCGAAAGGCGGTCGACTACTCGATATCCCAGATATCGTGGCGATCTCGGGTACGACGCACCTGAGCCCTCCGGATCCTCGCGCACGATCGCGCATCGCGATGGCACAGCAGGTAGGAGGTGCTGTAGCGCTAGACGCTCCTGCAAGTAGCGTAAGCTATCGACGCACAACACCTTGGAAAGAGCCTTTGAAAAAAAGAAAAAAAGAGCGAAGACCTTTCGTCTTCGAGAACGCGTTTAATAAAGAAAGAAAAAGGAAAAGAGAGCGTAAAAAAGAAAGGGAAAGACAGAAAAATAGAGAATAACGTTGAAAACAAGTGAAGTGTGGGAGAGTGAGAATGACTGCATGCGTTGCAAATAAGAAAGCCGTTTTTGGATGCCACTTTATATATATATATCTATATATATACGTACATATCATACATATAAATTGCACTAAGCACTGCATTGATATATGTGTGCATTTTGGGCACCTCTTTTCATTCTCGATAACATGATTGATTTATCGTCCGTTCTTCAGTTTTTCGTTGTCTCGTTCCCTTGCAATTATATAAACGTGTAACTCGTTAACTCTGCGGGTTATACGCCCGAGTTAACACGAGCCGCTCCGGGAGAACTGTCTCTAATCACGTCTTTTTTCGACTGTTCAAGGATCGGTTCATGACTTTTTACCTTGAATATTTTACACCTCTCTGAACCTTGGCCAAACATACCGTTTTGTTGGTATCCCTCGACAGTCACCGTCGATTGTGCGCGCGTCACAACGTTGAGACCGTCAAATCGAGAAATACGAGAATTTGTTCGCTCGTCGCTTGGCGTGCTAACCGAGCTATCATTCGCTCATATGTGAAAATGCAAACTACAAACTACTACTACTACTACTACTTGCAAACTACTTTTACTTGCTAACTACGATTAAAAAAACTTAGTTTTCATGAATTAATAATTATCCGACGACGAAATAACAAAAGTCACGCTCCACGACAATAATTCCAATGCGGCAACGTTTTTTTCGTATTCTCGTCTTTGACCTCAAGTTAGAGACTAGTATGATCGGCCGATAACTGCCGATTATGACCCTCGATTTTGTTTTCTTCCCCTCCTACAACTGAGTGTTATACAGTCCCCGGGGCTCCGCCTCAAAATGTAACCGGCAAGGCGATCAGCCCGACTTCCATATTGGTAACGTGGAAACCGCCGGCCGCTGAACACTCCAACGGGAGGATCGCCTACTACAGGCTGCAAGTCATCGAGAGCGGTCGCTCCGACTCCGAGGCGAGGACTATCAAACTGAATGACACGCGTTTCGTGTTGGACGAGCTCAAAAAATGGACCGAGTATCGGATCTGGGTATTGGCCGGGACCAGAATAGGTGACGGGCCCCCGAGTTTTCCTATCTTGGTCAGAACTCACGAGGACGGTATGTATCACAGACACTGACTGAAAGTCTCTCTGTTTTACCTCAGGCACGCGAGGAGTAACGTGTAAAATCCGTGGTGACGCACAGCGCGAGAGGGACGAATACCATGGTCGATGTTCTCCAATAGCTATCGCAATATACTAATTGATAGAGATCGATATCGATCGTGATACGATCTCGATGTTTATGTTATTCAACAAAAATGTATAACGATCGTAATCGCGGTAGAGAAAACCTCAACGCCGCGGTCGCTACGAGTTTCACACGCTAAGCTTCGCGAGGAAGAAATATTATATATTGGGATGAAGTAATAACGCGCCTCATCCGAGAGCCAAAAATATAAAAGCCCGCCAAAAGTCAGTCCGGTTATATACTCTCGCGCGGTTCCAGTGCGGGTTGCGACGACACGCCGCGTGTTATTCTTGATCCGGTGAATGCATTACGTATAATATACATTATACTGTATATTTTCGATTTCAGATTTACGCTAACGTCACTTCGTCACCTATCTCTCTTCCCAAACTCTCAAATGACCAGATTCTCTCTCTCTCTTTCTCTCTATCTCTCCTTTATCACGATTTTCTGTTCTGTGTCCTCTCTATCGTATATATCTTTTCTCTCCAGTGACTCTATACACTCATGTTATATTACATTGTGTTTACGTTTTTATATTCTATTAAATTACATTATACAATATATTGTACTCTGTATTATATTATATATATGAGCTTTCCTCTTCTCTCACGCCGTTCTTGTGTTACAGTTATAGTTTCGAGAAACGAACTATCGAATCGCCCATCGTGACGAGAGAGGAAAAGAGAACGGACACGGCCCTTTTTTCCGGTCGGGTTACCTTTTTTTTGCGCGAACAAAAGTTTTGAGCGCGCACGACTTTTTGTATTTTTCGTGCCTCTCCGATCACGCTACTCCGATCGCTTTCCTGTCGTTCTTTTCGTAACCTCCTTCACTCTTCCGATTTTTATAAAACGGCATCCACGCGAAACATGAAACGATGATGGCCCTACTTTTTTGGCTGGCGAGATTTTATATTTTTGGATTTTTTGCGGCAATAAAATCTCCGATTTATTCTAGCTTTCCCGAAATCTCCCAAAAATTCCTTTCTCCCAACCCCCTCTCTTTTAGTGTGCCCACAATCATTTTTTCCAGGTGCACGCAGCCACGGATTTTTCAGAAGCTGATAACCAATTTTTGAGCTCAGCTATTAAAAGATGAAAGAAAAAGAAAGAAACGAATTTTCTTACCGTTTTTTACAGGGCCTAATCGCAACTCTCTCTTTGTTCGTTGCCGTTGGTTTTTTTCACCCCCCAGCCCCACTTTTAAAACTTGGATATCTATTTTGACACGCTAATTAATATCTAATTATACTCACTCAAGTGTTTTTGTCTTTCCTTAAAGCATTTGCAGGAGGATGATCCAGGTTTTGAACAGCTAGTTTTTAAGATCTATTCACATTATCGTAATATATCAATATTACCTAATAATATGTACTCATTACACTCAATGTTCTTTCTGGTGGTTACCGTGGTTACGTCAGTAAAGATGTTTCGTTTCTCTCCTTTAGTTTATTAATTCACTCTTGCCACGTGTTATGAAGATAGAAGTCAGGCTGGCTGCCCCGCGTGCCATTATTTCCGACACTCTTTTTTTTTTGTCCTTTTTTTATACCGCCACTAGCTGCATATGCCACATGAAACATGCGTAAATAACACTAACGAACGAAATTAAATAACAACTTGTTACACGTGCAACAATCGGACGAAAGTAATGGCAACGCGTGGGACAGCTTGCGAGTGAAGCGCTTACGTATATATATATAAAAACTCTAGCGAATGTTATCTCACACACAAGAATATATATATATGAGACGCACTTTTTCACTATATATATATATATATCACACATATATATATTTCTATATCTCTGATATATAAGGCTCTTTTGTCTTTAGTTGAGATTTAGTTCTACCTATCGTTTGCACATGTTTAGAGCATGCCTTCGTTTGTTTAAAGATTCCTTAACTTCCCACGATCCCAGAAATGCAACCCTCTCGAACTTGTCCCGTCTAAAGAAAAGGAAAGAAATCCGAACCGATCCCCCCTCTCCGTCTCCGACCATCGAAATCCGCCGAACTGTGTCGAGTCTGCGATAATCATCTCTTCCCGACACAAACGAATACGTTCATCTTATACCATCTATATCCTATGAATGGCATGCCGATGCATGAGACAGTTTTGCTTTCTGTTACTTCCTGTTCCCTGTCCCGACCGAGCGGCATCTCCGAAAGTGCCGATCGATCCCGCATGTCGAACGTTTTTCGTCCCTCTATTGCCGAATGACGTCCAACACGATCCCTCTCTCATAACAAACGAATTCTGCACCGAGGGAAAAAAAATTTGTTTGCACGATATTTATATATAGTAGTTGTTGAAAAAAATAACTCCGCGCGGTCGTTAGCCACGATATTTCCCCGGGAAATCATTTAATCGTAACGATAACTTCTCTCGGTGCGGAGAAGGGGCGGTGCGGTACGACCGTGATCGTTAAAAGTTTCACGGCGCGAGTAAGTAGAAACTAGAAACAACGAATCGCGATATTGAAAAACATAATCGCACAGGAGAGCTAAAGTTGAAAAACAATTTGTTTCGGTAAAAAAAAAATCCAAAAGCGAGAAAGAGAAGTAAGGTAAGAAAAAGAGGGTGGTAATCGTACAAACGCTATTTATCTTTAACGGGCTATGAAGATATTCGCGTTTGGACACATGGAGAGCGTCATTTGTCGCGGAGGTATATTATGTCGCCATTGTTGAACGAAGGAGTCGTACCGACGCATCCGTAACGATCTTCCCGTGTGCCTTTCACCGTTCACCACCATGGAACACACCCCCCCTCGGATCCTCTTTCGTTTCTTCACCCTCCCGCCTGCGCTCCCGCTCCTACGAGCCCCCGTTCCCGGCATTATCCCGTTCACGGAGTAACTGATCCGGTGCCCGTTTACCCTCCCGAAGCAGACTCGGCAGAGCGAAGCGAAACGATAAAAAGCACTGCTGAAAGCACCCTGCCGTGTAAGCTCGCACATTGTCAAGCACAAAGATTCACCGTCACGTGTATAGCACATATATATCTTCTACGCATACGTTTACTACTATTACTGACTGTCATCGTTCACTATTTACCGAGAGATATCACATTGCTGCTACATGGTATTATATTATATACTGTCTCACCGTATATACGTATGTGTGCACGGGCACTTTGCAAAAATCACGTAAAAACGCGCGCCGGCACCGTGTTTCACATTTATTACTTCTCGCACCCACCACGCACGCATACACGCACCCCGCGGAGTCTCGCAGTGCCACGCGCGAACGTACGTACACGTACGTGCGTACGTCCACGTCGCGTGGTGCTGGCCGCCGCGCCGTCGTAGACTTGTCCTTCTTGCCCACCCCCTGTGCACCGATTCTCAAGAGCACCCGCTTTTACAAACAATTCGGCTGCGAGATAGCACGTAGCATTCACGTAGGACACGTGCGCGGGCGTGTGCGACTTGGATATGCGTATACGTAGAGGCGTTAACGCTCACATGCTGCGTGAGAGAGCACCGTGCACAGCAGCGGCTATACACGTCCGAATAAATATTATTATAGACGATGCAATATCGTGCCGCCGAGCACCAGCACTGAAAGCACCCTCGAAAAGCACCCCCACTGTCGACTGTCGTGCAACCTGAAGCTCCTTCCTGAGGCGATCTCGAAATGGCGCGGTACAAAAGCCATAATAATAACCGAAATGGTAATGGATTGTTGTTGCGAGCAACGTTGTTCGTTTTGTTGCGGTAAAAGCGCGGTCTAATAATATTAGTGAAATTATATTACTGTATCGGGTTATTAATTTGTGAACACTAGTGAATATTAGCGAAAAAAAAGCAGATAATATGCACAAGCCGATCGTGTTAAAAAATTATCCGGAAGAAAATATGAAAGTTATTTCATATGCAGAAAAAAAATCGGTTCGTGCGGAAGCTGTTTTTATCGAAAATTTACTAAGCATACCTACAGAAATTTATAACCGATACTATGTATAATATCACGAGAAAGATAACAATCGATGATTGACGATTATTGGTTCGCGATACATTTTTTTTCGAGATCGCGACAGGAAGGTGCGCGCGTGAATGCGTGAGTGATTGTGTAAAAGGATATCGGATGGAAGGAGGACGACACGCGTAAGAAAGCGTACGCGAAAAGTGACGAAAAAAAAAATCAGGGAAGTGATCAGTCACAAAGGAAAACGGTATACAATATAAATCGAATTGAGAGTTCGCGCGATATTTTCTCTGCGCCCAAACGTCCCCGACGAAGAAGAGAGTCGGGCAATTTGTGTCGATAAAGAGAAAGAAAAAGAAACGTTCGCGAGGCGTTTTCTTGAAAAGAAACATTTGAATACCAATATTCATCAGACCTATTTCTGATTATATTCTCATTTATATGCTCATCAGTCACAATTTTCGTGAATTCGACGATTAGATCGTTTCCAACGTCGACTTCGCCTCCGCCGGAAACGATCGGTGACCGTTCATCCGCGTCAGCGGAGAACATCCCCTTAAAAAAAAAATAGCACGCACAAGAAATGGAAGTGCAAAGCGCACGCTCCAAAATAAAACACTCAACTTTTGCTCGTGCGTAAAGTATCCGGCGCGGATGAAGTACGGTCTATCCGTAAAAAAAGAAACTCACCGTATGCTGCGCTGACCGCACGGACGAAAACGAGAAATCTGGACATACGTAGACTGCGAGCATCAGGTCCCATTAATTTTCATACGTAATCACTCGACGGCCGTTTTTCTATTACGTATATATCTTCGCTCTCTGCATGCGAGACTCTGATCCGTTTCCAACTCTTTTATGTCTCTGTAAGTGAAAACATAGTACTCTGTTATTCAGATGATACTTCGATATGTACGAAATATTCTATTTTAAATGCCATATATAGCATCTCTTTCTACATACGTATTCTACTTTTTTATTCTCGAGAAACACGCACACGTTTTATTACATGGGTATCTAGAAAAGGTATATAATTACATTGTACATGTAAATGTGATTTATTTCCTTTTATATCTCTGAACTTTTTCATCAACGGTTAAAGCAACGCTCTTTTCGTAGGCGTAATTTAAAGTCTTAAGAGCTTCGGCTGCCCGTTTGATTGTTCCTGATTGTTTCCTTCAATTTTTTACTTAACACGTAAACTATATTACTGTTATGTCCCAATAAAACGCATGATTTATGACAGTTCGTTTCCTTTAGCTCGACCCAGCTAGTTCCGCCAATTTGAATTAGACATTTTAGATGTCATCGACAGTTTCGACCACACTCGATCATCGACAGGTACGCGAGCACGATTCGTTAATCAAATAAACGGCACGGCTACCTCTATCACCGCGTCTCGGCAACGGCTGTCGAAACGTATTTACGCGCGCGTTTTACGTGGAATTTTGTGATTTTTGCGTGGATGAATGCGCGGGTGGATGTTGACATTGAGAGAAAGAGAGAGGAGAGACGAGAAGGGAAAGAAAAAAGAGAGAAGGGAAGGGGAGACAAATAGCGGGGTACTTTTTTATGGTATCCCAAACGGCTGAGTGATCTCACTGTGTCTGTCTCTCCCTTTTGCTCTCTATTTCTTTCTTTTAGTTTCTCCCTCTGTCTCTCTTTTTCTCTAATTTACCCTGCCTCCCCTTTGCTGAAGCGACAAAAGTTTTTGATCGAGCTGCTGTTTTTTGCGGGTGACTTTTTGGAGTTGCAAAAAGAAGAAAAAAAAAAGAAAATAAAACAATTTTTCCTCAGAAGACACTCCACCCCACCGACATGTATCCCGATCTTGTATCGTGAATTTTTGACTACAATACGTAAAATGTCACGAAAGTAATCGCGAGTTTTTCTCACGACTGTCCATTTCTATAGAATACCGTAGTGATAACCGACGAAACCTTTTCTCTCGTTTGATACATCCTAGAAACCGTCCACCTTATTCTTTCTTATGGTTTCTCCTACCTATAGCTTTCTTTTCGTAGGCATTTTATCATAGGTCTTCCCTTTGATGTCTCGTGTCGGGGGAGGAAAAGAAGGGGGAAGATTCGAAATTTCGACGCTCTAAGCTTACCATTCACCCGCGATTTCGGGCAAAGAAACGTGAGACAATTTGGCCCTCGTGTCCCGCCCCCGACACGAGGCAGATGAACACATTAAGCCTTTAGTTATTTCATATTTGGAGTAGTGATTGCGCATGCCAAAAAAAAAGATATTCTCACGTCTCCCGCCTCTCTGCGACCAACTGCAACCGAGGGCCAAAGCGATCATTCATTTTTTTTTTGGGTCTATGTAACGATCGATTGGAATCATGAATCTTGTTGCCACCGACATTCGTTAGCAGTTGCGAAATAAGCGGTGTGATTGTCAATCGAGCGCATGAGGCCGGAACGAAAGGACCGAATCGAGCGAATGCGAACGCGTGCCTGCTTCGAGAAGAAAAGGATAAACGAGATCTCTGTCTATATATATATTTTTTTTGTCGTAAAATCGAGAATATAGTTATTATATAATAGAGAGGGCCAATTTTGATGATAATAATCAGTAGTGTGCTACCCATTGATATGCCTTAAAGATTAATTAAATTACATTACACTGTAATTCTACTCAATGTACGTGCGAAGTTGACACGAATTTTTACGAGTTTTTTTTCCCACTTTTTTGGCGACTTTTGGGGCGCAGCTGAAAAAAGTGAGTATCCCTTAGCTCGTCTCGAGTTGTGCCATGACATTTTTCTATACCGTCTATTTTTGTTTCACTTTTCCTTTTTGTCACCGTCTGGTTTTTTGCATATGTACACTCTCATTTTGTTGTCTGTCGAGAGAGTCAAATCTCGAAGTGTCGTCCTACAGTTGTTTTTTGTCTTTTCTTATTTTTTTTTGTTGCTGCAGCCAGTGAATTATATTATAATATAATCTTGAGGAACATATTACATACATTATAACGCTGCGACTGCGCGCGCTCGCCACCCTTGTTTTTTGCGCTACATAGCGAAGTTGTAAGTGTGATCTTGATCTTACTTGACTGTGTATACATGCGAGAGCTAGAAGCAGAGCGAGCACGCGATCTTCCAATCGCTTCTCATCAAGTTCGCGCTACGACGATTCAGTTTTCTGCGTCGGAATTTTCTGTATGTACTTTCGTTGCGGCGCAAGTTTCATTTTTTGCGAATCCCTCCGCCGTAGAGCTGCTTCTACTGTTATATATATATCGTGCGGAAGTAGGTATTAGGCAGTGCTGGTTTTTTATCTGAATTTTTATTTTTCTCTCACCACGTTTTACGTTTCCCATTTCTCTCTCACCATCGCGCCAATTAGCCGTTTAGCGAATTACGACGAATACTGGACCGTCCATGAGACAATCGAGTTAACTCGTCTCGCGAAACACCGACGTCCTGGCATCGCGACGTCAGAAGGGGGTTAACGCGGGGGTTAACGCGAAATACGCCGTGTGTGGCACAGTCGCGTACTCTCTAACTTCCAACAGTCGTGTGCAGTGGCCGTGGTTGTAAATAAACGTTGTAAATAGGCAACGTGTGTATATTTACCCCGCCACTACCTCGCATCCGTTCGAGGAGCAAGATTCCGCGACTCTGCCGTCGTCGCCGTCGTCGTTGCGGCAACTTTCGTCCCCCGGCGAGCGTACTCGTTGCCCTCACAACCGCCTCCGCGGAAACTCGCGTGCAACTAACTATCTACTTGGTCTCTCAAGTCATGGACTCTCCAATATTGCCGCTGTGTTATCGTGCCCAACGTTACCGCGTACTTTACCGTGTCTACGCGCGCGCGCTTGTATATGCAAAGTCGAATGCGCGCGGGCTAAAGAAAAAAAAAAGAATTGAAAAAAAAAAGAGAGAAAAAAGCATTATTGGTATTCAAATGGAGGATTGTAATCGTATCAAGGGGCGTAGAGCATGGGGTACAACGTGCCTCGTAATATTGTTTGTACGTCGTTTTGTCCGTGTGTGATTGGCGGCATGTAATTACCTTCTCCACTATTTTCTTCGTCTTCTTGTTCTTCTTTTTATCTTATGGTCTCTCTTTCGTTCGCGAACTTTATTTTACTTATGATTTCTCTCTGCAACCGCCGCAGTCGCTGGTACTTTCGTTTCCTTTTTCGATTGTATCTCACTGCTACCTCGTTCTCGCTGTCAACTACTTTTTTTTCCACCCCGTTTACAGCGACGAATTGGACGACGGATGGACGGTCGCGAAATGTAGAGGAAACGTTTTCGCATTGTATAAAGACCGATTTTACTTCTCGCTTTTCTTTCTCTAAATACGTTTTATCGTATGACAAAGGTACCTTGTCGCTACCGACATATTACGCTTATCGCTTCTCACGTTGTTCTTTCGCTTCTGGAATGTAAATAATGACGTAATGATCTTCCGGCAGACAGGACAGACTGTGAATGACTTACATACTCTTTTGATTTCTTTCGTTTCTCACTTTTCGATCGTGTTTCTCTTTAATTTCACACAAAGATATTTTTATTTATTATTTCAGGTTTAGTAAATTCGTTATTTATTATCTCCTGTCCGCGTACGTCTGTGGGTGTACATGGGCGTGTGTCTGTGAGTGTGAGCGTCGGACGAGCGTAAAGTGCACGAATTAATTATGGATTGCGTTACAGTGCCGGGGGATCCTCAGGACGTCAAAGTCACGCCGATCAACTCGACGGCGATACACGTCAAGTGGCAGCCGCCGAAAGCGAAAGATCAGAACGGCGTCATACGGGGATATCATATACACGTGCAAGAAGTGAGGGAGGAGGTCAGTTTGCGGCTGCTGCACGATCAATAGCGTAGCGTTAGAAGTTTTGGGCTCTTACGCGAAACTTCCTGATAAAACCCGTTACCTTCACTATCGTCTCTCTATTCACGTGTAATATTATCGCGAGTTCCTTTATCCTTCCCAATTCTTGTTCAAGTATTAATAGGATATACGTCTTAAGTAACACGATACTAAGATCTTTAAAGCGATTCTATAGAATATTTCATAACGGATAAACAAATTTTGACGATTTATTGGGAAGATTGTGAAGAATATCACGAATATAGTTCTATTTCAAGTATAGTCTCATAAATATTAAAATATCCATCCCACAAAGTGATTTGAAGATTTGAAAAAATTGTCGAAGTATTTTTTATAAATTTTCCTATATTTTTAATGTAACAATCAAATTAAAATTAAAAAAAAATAATATAATTTCGAAACTATATTATCTGACATTATCAGCATCTCAGCATCTGTTAACAATATCTTTCTTTTGAATGCTTAAATGAAATGAAGTTTAAATGAAAACAATGGCAAGTACTTAGACAGGTAAGGGCGAGGACTCACAGTACAAATTATGATGGTTTCTCAGGGGAAAGATTTATTGAACGAACCGATACGTCGAGACGTACACGATGACGGCGTGCTAGAAGTGAACATCACCGGATTGCAACCAGACACGAGATACTCGGTGCAGGTAGCGGCATTGACGCGAAAAGGAGACGGGGACCGTTCGGTACCGATACACGTCAGGACGCCGGGCGGTGTACCAAACAGACCACAGGTCAACGTAAAGTAAGAATCGCCTACTTGAAGCTACGAGAAATATTGTACCTTCATAAACAATTTGAATCGAATTCTATGCACGTTATATTTTCTCAGAGTCCTGAGCAGAGGCCCCGATGTCTTGGAGCTCGAATGGGCCCAGCCTACTCAAATCTACGGTAACCTGTTGGGATACCGTATTCGATACGGTATAAAAAATCAAACGCTCAAGGAGGAATTTATCGAGGGAACGCGTCAGCATACGTACAAAATTACGGATCTCGGTGAGAAAAATTAACATGCACTATTTTTTTTATTAATAGCCTACTGTATTGTATAAAAATTATTATTTCATGTCATATAAAAATAGTATTGATTTTCGTATTGAATATTCTTCAAGATACATAACATATATTTTTCTCTTTACTTAGATTTCTCTTTAGGTTTGATGTGATATTATACTTATTACGATAATGGCTGGATTCGGGGAGCGCGCTATTAGCGCTATTTGCTTGTTCTATCCTTGTTTTACACCTGATGAGCGATAAAGACAGAATGATGCAATAGCGCTAATAGCGCGCTCCTCGAATGCAGCCAATAACTATAATTGCTCAGTTTACTAGATAATTTTGAAGTTACTTGTACCTCCCTCCATTTAATGAGTTATTTGTCAAATAATAAATCTGTAATAAATAATAAATCTGTAGGAGAACAAGGCGTTGATTACGAGTTCAGGGTAGCGGGCAAGAATGACATCGGCTTTGGTCAAGAGACCGTACGGTATTGGTTCAGCCCGGAAGGCGAGCCAACCGGGCCACCAACAAACCTATCGTACTTCTTTCAAACTCCCGATACTGTGTGCGTGACCTGGGACAAACCGCTTCGGCAGCACAGAAATGGCCAGATAATCGCATACGACGTGCAATTCAACAAAAAGAACGATCACTCTACCACTATTGATAGAAACACGACCAAGACGAGAGCGGTATTCACCAATCTAGAGGAGAACACTGAATACGTCTTTCACGTGCGAGCGCACACATCGCAAGGCAGCGGTCCGTACTCCGAGAAAATCACGATAATGACGGAAAAAGATATCGGTCGAGCTCCGATGTCCGTAAGAGCCGTGGCCACATCGGACTCCAGCGTGGAGGTATGGTGGGAGCCGGTGCCGAACAGAGGGAAGATCGTCGGTTACCAGATTTTCTACACAACAACCGCTGTGGAGGATCTCGATGAATGGAAGCAAAAGAGTGTCGGTCTGACGGAATCAGCGGATCTGATCAATCTCGAGAAGTTCACGCAGTACGCTATAACAGTAGCGGCGCGCTACAAGACTGGTCTCGGAAGACTCAGCGAGAAAGTCACAGTGAAGGTGAAACCGGAGGACGTACCATTGAACCTCAGAGCGCCGGATTCATCAACGCACTCGATGGCCCTCTCCTGGACCCCACCCATAAGACTGACTCCTACGAAGTACAAAATCTCGTTTGATGCTGTTAAAGAGTTCGTGGATTCTCAAGGTATAACGCAAACACAGCTCGTGCCCCGCAGACAGATCCTATTGGAACCTCAAATCACAAGTACGACAATAAACGAGCTGCAACCATTTACGACTTATAATGTCAACGTGAGCGCTGTACCGCGCGACGGTCAGTATAGACCACCGGCGAAGATTACAGTTACTACGCAGATGGCCGCGCCCAAGCCGATGGTGAAGCCGGACTTCTACGGTGTGGTCAACGGCGAGGACATTCAAGTTATCCTACCGCAAGCTTCCGAGGAGTATGGTCCAATCTCGCACTATTATCTCATCGTTGTGCCCGAAGACAAGAGCACGGCCAATAAACAGCCGGATGAACTGACTGAGGATATGATCAGCGGGAAAGGTGCTAAGCAGGAAAGAGAAAGTGCGCCCTATATAGCTGCTAAGTTTCCACATAGAGACATTCCGTATACGTTTCATTTAGGCAGCGGAGACATCTACGAGGGATATGAAAACCGAAAGCTCGCCAAAAATAAGCGCTATAGAATATTCGTACGAGCCGTAGTCGATACTCCACGAAAGGTAAGACGAGGAGCTATTCGAGTATTTTTTATATAAGTTATTTGTGAATAAATCTGTAATTATGAATAAAATATCTCTTTCAGCATTTGTACACATCGTCACCGTTTTCTGAATATTTGTCTCTGGACATGAGGGAAGTACCTCCCGGCGACCCACCACGTCGGCCAAATCCTAACACGCCTCCGGATGGAAACCCAGAAGTTTCTGTAAAAACTAGCGGTCAAGAACCAGGCATGGTATGGGTAGTTGGTCCTATAATCGCGGCATTGATGGTCAGCGTTTGCCTTGTACTTTTATTCGTTATTAGAAAGTAAGTTGCATTTCTTAATGAAAGATAGATAAAGTTTTTACGGTTGAATTGTGGATGCATATCTAATTTCTCTTAATTATTTCAGACGAAGACAGCCATGTAAAGCACCGGATCAAGCAGCCGTTACACGACCGCTCATGGCAGCAGATATAAGCTCTAATCACGCACCGTCGGATCCGGTCGAAATGCGGCGACTAAATTTCCAAACCCCTGGCATGATTTCACATCCACCGATTCCTATTAGCGAACTAGGCAATCACATTGAACGCCTGAAAGCGAATGACAATCTCAAGTTCAGTCAAGAATATGAGTCAATAGAACCTGGCCAACAATTCACGTGGGACCATTCCAATATGGAAGTCAACGCGTCGAAGAATCGTTACGCCAATGTAATCGCGTATGATCACTCGCGAGTAATCCTTCAGACAGTTGACGGTATGCCGGGCTCCGATTATATCAACGCCAATTACTGCGACGGTTACAGAAAGCAGAACGCATACGTGGCTACCCAGGGACCGTTGCAGGAAACGTTCGGAGACTTCTGGCGCATGTGTTGGGAATTGCGCACCAGCACGATCGTGATGATGACGAAGTTGGAAGAGAGAACGAGGATAAAGTGCGATCAGTATTGGCCTACCAGAGGATCCGAGACTTACGGACAGATGACTGTGACCATCAGCGATGTTCAAGAACTGGCAACTTACTGCATTCGCACGTTCCAGGTTTGCCGAGCAGGTTATTCCGAGCGACGGGAGATAAAGCAGCTGCAATTTACAGCTTGGCCCGATCATGGCGTGCCAGAACACCCCGCACCGTTCTTACAGTTCTTGCGCAGAGTTAGATCCCTCAATGTGCCCGACAGTGGACCATTGGTGGTGCACTGTAGCGCGGGCGTAGGAAGAACTGGCTGTTTCATCGTGATAGACTCAATGTTAGAAAGAATCAAACACGAGAAAATGATCGACATATATGGCCACGTCACGTGCCTACGTGCTCAGAGGAATTACATGGTACAGACGGAGGATCAGTACATTTTCATTCACGATGCCCTGCTGGAGGCGGTGATTTGCGGCAACACGGAAGTACCGGCTAGAAATCTACATTCTCACATTCAAAAGCTCATGCAGCCGGAAATCGACAATATAACTGGAATGGAACTGGAATTCAAGAAACTTTCCAACATCAAGGCTGACTCGACCAGATTTATATCCGCGAACCTGCCATGTAATAAACACAAGAATCGATTGGTCCATATTCTGCCTTACGAATGCACCAGAGTATTTCTACAGTCACAACGTAATATCGAAGGATCTGATTACATAAACGCGAGCCTGATCGATGGATATCGCTATCGCGGCGCCTATATAGCTACGCAAGGTCCTCTGTGCGACACCACTGACGATTTCTGGCGTATGCTGTGGGAGCATAATTCCACGATCGTCGTTATGCTGACGAAATTGAAAGAGATGGGCCGAGAGAAGTGCCACCAGTACTGGCCGTCCGATCGATCTATCCGTTATCAATGTTTCGTCGTGGACCCGATCGCGGAGTACAACATGCCGCAATACATTCTGCGAGAGTTCAAGGTGACGGATGCGCGCGACGGGGCCAGTCGCACGGTCAGGCAATTCCAGTTCATCGACTGGCCGGAACAGGGTGTGCCGAAATCCGGCGATGGTTTCATCGACTTTATTGGACAGGTGCACAAAACGAAGGAACAATTCGGCCAGGACGGACCGATCACCGTGCACTGCAGTGCCGGTGTGGGAAGGACGGGTGTCTTCATAACGCTTAGCATCGTATTGGAGCGAATGCAGTACGAAGGTGTGGTCGATATATTCCAAACTGTGAGAATATTACGCACGCAACGTCCAGCTATGGTTCAAACCGAGGTTCGTAAACTCCTAATTTCAATGCTTTGTAAAGTATTTATAATGTATATAACTGCGTGATATCTCATTTACTATATTCTTATCACAGGATCAATATCAGTTCTGCTATCGAGCTAGTTTGGAGTATTTAGGCTCCTTCGATCATTACGCCAACTGACAAGCCGACACTCGCGAGCAGAGAGATCTGTCGAGGGATAAGCGAGACCGACAAAGAGATATCGAGAGAGCAAAAGTACGACGTGTCTAGTACAATAAAGTCGTGTGACATACTCGTACCTTCCAAGGACAAATACAGTAGAGCAACGCGATTACTAGTGTCGTGGGCAGTTAATATAGAGATGAAATGTTTAGTCAATGGTGTTGCAGTAAATGCAAATATGCCGGAAATTTTCACTTCTGATATAGCAAATACCCGTGCTGAGAAGCACTCGGTTTAGGCTAATCTCTTTTTAGAAACTAGATTTGAAAGTTCTCTCGTGGTGACGCGAGTCAAAACTGCCGTTTAGAAGTACGTACAATACGCGTGGTTCCACGAGCGATCGTACGGTGTCATACATTCTTTTCTTTTACGCGAACAAAGCGGATTATTAATTCCCAGGCATTCTCTCACGTCGAAGAATCAATCAGCTAAGTACGACGATGTAATCAAAATTACGAGCCGTCATAATCGCGTAGGATTATATTCGCGAATTAGTAAATTGGAACATATCCCATTGTCAAGTCGATCATTCGCAAAAGCATTTTTTAAGGTCTAGATAATCTAATTTTAAGATAGACTGAAAATATTACGACCATATCTCTCCCACTTGAAACATGGTGCATTTTCCGTGCATAGTATCTCTTACAAACTAAGACAATGAAGATCAAAACCTTTCCTGTTTATCGAGGTTTAAGAGTGCTTCCTTCAATAGCGAATTGCATAGAGGAACGAAATGGTCTCGATGTCGACGTCCGTGTCTGTGAGAGAGTACCGAAACGCACATCAAGAAAATAAGAACCTACCATTCACCGTACGTGGCATATTCCACGAGTACTTACTAATGTAGAAAGAAAAATGGATTGAAAAATCAGTCGAGTAACCTTTCTGTAGCCATTACAAAATAAAGAAAGAAAGAGAGAGATGAAAATTTCCGCTCACAAGAAACAAAAAAAAATTGCCATACTGCCAAATTGACAATTATTAATGCTGTACTCACTTATGAACAGTAGAGATCTTCTCATTATAATAATGTTAGATAGATTATAAGAAATTGTTTTTAAGGATAGATTAAGCGACGCCATTAGGGAAATGAGGATGAAAGAAGGACCCGAGTGAAAGAAGGATGAAAGGAAACGGTGCCTATTCAATGAAAGGTGCGCAAGTGAATTTGCGCACGTTTCTATAAAAGAAGAGAAAGAAACTAATTTAAATAGAAGCACTGTATGTTGAATTCGTGTACTGTTCTCCCGAGCCCTCGATACCCTTATGTACAAAGTTCCAACGTAGCTTCTACCTCGAATATTTCTACTTGCCATTCAAATATATTGAAATAGTCATAAATTCAATTACATTTGCATCGGTTCAATGTTTTTTGGCTTACGAGTACCTTATATTAAAATCAAATTTACGCTGAGTATTCATTGTTCATTGTACGCGAAACCATCGACATTTGCAATATATACCTTTTCTTTTTCAAATGCCAGATCAATGCCAATAACATATAATGAAGAACATCGCTACATGATATATTTGTTACGGTGAGAATATTTAATTCGGTAGTTCTATAAGATTTCTAATAATTCTATAGAATCACTGGCTGTACTGGCGAATTAATAATATATTCGAATGTCTTTTCTTACGCATTTATCAACATGACTAGTGATTCTACAGAATCGTAGATAATTTTATAAAAGCGCGAGTTATTCACTTTTACCGTGACATTATCCATTTTGTATATTAATCACGACTTCGGATACATGTATTGCAATTTAAAGTTGCGAACTCTCCAGTTTACGAGGACAATAATTGTGCGCTCGATTACACTTTCGAAATCTACATGATATACTATTGGTAATACTATTTGGTATAAGCAAATATATCTTAGAGTCAACATTTTAGAAAATACCAATTAAAAAAGGGTACAATAAGGAACGTAACGTCATCTAAATAAAGTAATTTATCAATTAAGAATCTTTTCTGGTTTTTGGCATTCTTTTGGCTGTAACGATTCTATACCTATGAAATATTTCTAATATTTTGAAACTACATGTGAAATGCCACACAATAATGCAATTATATGATTTTATACAATTTTGCTCGAATATACTCCTTTTTCCATTAGTTATTGTGGTTCGAGGGTTAGGAACTGTGACTAAATGTACATAACTGCACCGTTTGTCATTAGTAACATTATATAAATATATATATAAAATGATAAGTAATATATACATAGATATACATATACATATATAAATATCATAAGAGATGCGAGTGTGCATAAGGACATGAAGATGTTTAAGAAGATATAGGTATTTTCCAGACTACCGTGTTAAGTTTTAACAAAAAAATGTGTAATCTACTCAGTACGTTGTATCTACCTGTATTCTCTCTATATCTTTTATTCACCATTTTTACACTTTTTTAAACACTTTTTTAAGTAGAGTATTTTTTAAATTATACTTATCGCATTTAACAAATGTACTTTTATACAACGGCTTTCGAACAGAGCATTCCTTTATGGATTGGATTCTGAAAAAAAATTACTTATTCGCTTTAGTGTTATATTTTTTTTTCTTTTGTTAACAAACTGAGGGCCACATTTCATATAGCAATTAATACCATGTACTTTGTGCTTGAAAAAGTACTTAATTTATTTTATATTAAAATGTACGTAATTATATAAGTAATTACATCCAATTTTTCACTGCCTGTTAAACCATTACAACCATAGCATTTTTCACTAATTTATAGTATAACGGTAATAGTATTACTTAATGCATAATAATACTAGTTATAATTACGATTTGCCTTATGTCTCAAAGTTCATTACATAACAGTAACATTTTAAATGAACGATGTATTTTAAGTTATCACGTTAAATATTTCTGGGGCAATGGCAGTAGATCCTTTATTACAACTTAATATTTGGCCTTCAGAATGTAACCATAAGCAGGTATTTACTTTGACATGCAGCATCTTATTTTGAAAGAAATATGTATTTATACAATAGTTTTTGAATAATTGCTTTTCTTTTAATTTCAGTTTATTACAAACATTGCTTTAGCAAAAATTTTTATATAATATGCTCCTACTAAACGTTTTCAAGCAAATTAAGTCGTGATTATTTTCAAACGGCAGGAAAGGTTTCACCAATATTTTTATTTCTTTTTTTCGTATGCATAATTTTGAAGACTGTAATCGGTATTTAAAGACTCACACTCCTCAAGACTCCTTAAGACATTGTTAATGAAATGTTATACATGGTGTATGACTGGATAACGTTTAACAGCTCTTGCAACATATGACGCTGAAAACGCTAAACACAAAACTCAAAACAATATGTTTTAGGACATTAGGATATAAGAATGGATGATATATGAACAATTATAAGTTGTACATTGGAAAGTTTCATCTGTAAATAACACTAACTTATTTCCATTGAAATATTTTTATCTCGTTATTGTATAATTAATCATTCCAAGTTCACGAAGCAAAATTATTTTAATTGCTAATTTTGATGAAGTAGTTCTCGCTGTTGGATCATTTCTCAAGAATCAGTAGCTTTTAAACTTTAAGAGTCAAACGCCGTGTACACACTGTGGTTTTTATTATAATGTTCTTAAAAAGAGAAAAAGACTTTTGCTAAAAATAACTTTCAAATCATTATTATAAGTATTCATCTGTAACAAATCATTGAGCGTTTCATCCCACTAACGAGTCTTCTTAGAATACTGTAAAGCGTATTAAGTTTTAATAGCGTTAAACTTGGCAGAACTTTCGTGAGGATCTTATAAATTTCGAAATTTCAATGTAATTATTCTCAACACATGTACTTTGCCAACTTTCTTAATGGCTTCACGTTTAAAGTCCCAAGCTAAAATATGTTACCAAAAAAAAACGAAATTGAATTATTGTATAAATATACTACTAGTTATAAATTGATATCGTTAAACTGTACTCACTAAAATTTACTGCTACAAGGAAGTCCACAAAATATTCGTACATTTATATTATAACATAATAATTGTAATGTTACACTAAGTTTTTTGTATCATTCCGAAACTTTCGTGTATGTTGTATTTTAGTACCGTAACCCTTGTTAGTCTTTATAATTTTTTAATGATCTAAAATGTATAGCAAACGATATGTGGTTTGTTGTATTCTTCTTCTTGAAAACGTATACAACTCGCGCGTGTCTTCGGAGCAGTTTTGATAATATAATAAAATACAATCGGCTACTATAGGCTCCGTGCAATATAGCGAGTTTGTTATTGTGTATAAGATCGCCTCTCAAATTCATCTGTAGATGAATCAGTAAAGTGACGCGGATCCGAAGAAGAATATGAATTTAAATGCAAAGAATAAGTCAAATACTAAATATCGTTGAAAGAATGGGAAATTATTTTGTGATACTTTCTTGCCAGAAAGAATACAACAGGCTGAGGTAAAAACATGATAAATGCAATGTTACTGATTAACAACTATACAAAATAAATATTGTGTAATAGGAAGAGTCTGTTGACAAGGAAAAATAACGTGTACATTATGTATTGCCTTGCGGCATTAATAAACTAGTACTAACATAAAAGATGCTTCCTTCTTTTTCAAATATAAGTGTTTATTTTAACCCTTCCACTTTTGGTGACGTCAAGGAAAACGACGGACTGGATAATGGATAAACAGGCATCTCGTCAAATAACAATAATGTAGAACGTGAAGATTGACAACGGTTTATTTTATATAATACTTAAGAGATACTGTCTAACGTTGTATGTACAAACATTTGCAAATATTAAATTATCATGTGAATATAAATTTTCAATGATACACGCACACATACATTAATGTTTCAAAATTTATAAATCTATATTACATTAGTTGGTTGAGTGGAATTATTCGTTGGTGGACTCCTACTCATTATGGAAGTAACCTAGGGAGAGAGAGAGCAAAATGAATTAAGCAAGAATGATACCTAAGTACAAAAAGAAAACAATTATTTTGTGTCGTAAAAATATATACATTTTGCAACACTTGTTTCCTGATGAAATCACTTGTGGCCGCTGAAATGTTTTGATCATTTCCCATTTTACATTTAATATAGCCATACAGATTCGCACCATTTAAAACTATGGCAATGCAAACGAGGAGAAGCCACTTGAATTTAAAACCAAATAATGCCGCAATGAATAGCATTGACCAAAAAAGTGGGCATAAGATCAGGGCCAACCAAAAGATTCGCGCCTCAGTCGCATTAATACGGTTCTGTTGTACACCCTGAAACACAGGGCACATAGCAGACAATTGGATTTACACATGTGAAAATCATATTTAAGTAAGCTACGTCAACTATGTATGTATATTTTACTCTCTACACATTTTATGAATAACAAAACAGCAGCTGGGACGTAAATTTGTCAGGTAACTATCTACTTATTGAATAATGCGTATAAATAGTTTTAGAAAGTGCCAAGGGCATAAAAATATAACAGCTGGTAAACCTTGAACTACTCGATCCAGTTAAATCAGCGTTTACTGGAACGTGACAAATGAAAAAATATACTCGATAATTGAAAGCTACATTTCAATATAAATCTACGTAAGTGGAACTTATGTGATATAAAATGTGATAACATGACATAGGCTTCGTATCTCTTGAAATACAGAATTAAATGATTTTCTCGTCACAACGCCGAAAGAGGTAGAAAAGAGGCACTTTCTTGTTAATCCGAGACTTGTATACGAAATGACACGAATCAAAATATACATAAATGTGTATACAATAAGCGAACCTTTCGAGACTCAAAGATCCAATGACTTTTGCCATCGTCATCCACATAATTCCACCATCTAAGGCCGACCATTAATCTTCCCGTAATATTTTTAACGGTCCAAAAATCCATCGATAAAAGTAGTACCACTGTTACAAAGCTCGCTATAAAACTATTTGAAAACAAACCGCAAAACAAATAAACTATTATAGCCGCTATCCTGAAGGCCAAGTGAAACAGCGTAACGTACGGGTGTCTAGAATTATAAGAGGACAACATTTTATCTTACAGAAGTATGGCGCACTTCCATTTAGAGATATATCTTCGTTAATAGTACTTAAGCCTGTTGGCATTCTGGGCGGCCTCCTCTTCCTCCCCGAAAGCAATCGTATCGTCATCCATCAGTAAAGGTACCTATAAACGAGATCGCGAGACATTCGGTAAAAGGAGTATCGAGCATGCATGTTTATTTTCATTTATCATGCGTCAATTATATTCGTGGATTGCATTATTGTGACGTTACGTGAACGAATAAACTCGAAGGTGTAATCTGCGTTTCTCGAGAAGCCAAAAAAAGAGAGAGAAAGAGCGAAAAAAAAGGACGAGACACGAAGTTTAACCCCGAGAAACACCCGCATTCGCTTCCGCAAAGGGCGTGATTATACCGATGTACAAACCCTTCCTAGGTGTACGCTAGGATACGTACGGAAATGCGCAAGCGAATGTCAGAGTGACGACCTTCCTATCTCGCCGACTAGAATTATTACTCTCGGTCCTCTGTCCGGTAACGAAACGACACTTATATTTCGCTCTACAATCGGTTACCTCGTGGGTTAGGCACTACGACTAAAAAAAAGCCATGTGGCGTCAGTATGCGGTCGATCGCGCGGAGGTTCGCGGCGTTTGGCACCTACCGTTGCGGACGCCATGTTTGCACGTTGACGTTGGCTTTGGCTCCGACGGTGCGTCGTCTGCTGGGCTGGGTGGAATATGGAAATGGAAGGTGGTGGTGGTTGGCCTCGCCAGCCTCGCGGTCGACGGCGGCAAGAGTCGCGCTGTTCCCTCAAAACGCGTCGCGACCACGCTCTCGCGTTCCGTTTCACCGTCGGGGCATTGTCGATCAAGGCGAGCGCCTTGACATCGTTAATAACCGGCGCGGACGGGGAACCTTGAGACGCGGCGCCGGCGCCGCCGACACGGACGAAAGTCGCGCGACCAGCCGAACTCGCTCGCGCGAAGAGAGTGAAGAGACTTTGGACTTGGACGCGGCCGGCGGCGGCGATTGGTCGAGCGCGGGAGAGACAAGCGCGCTCATTGGCCGCTCCGATCTGTCGCGCGTGTTCGGAGCGCGCGTCATTCGCGGCCGCTGAATTGAAGGATTTTCAAATCCAATTCGAGTTAATTTATTCCTGATTGAAACTCAACTTGAATTCGGACAATTCGGTATTGGCTTCGAATTAAATATTCCAATTAATTAAATCCAACTCATAAATTAATTACTTTCTAAATTGTTACTGAATTATTTGTCTATTAATCGCGCAATCATTTTTATCTTTTAATTCCATCGAGACGCGAGACGTGCCTTTTGATCAGACAGCCGAATTTCAGATCAACAATGCAGAAACGACGCATTCGGTTCGAGACCGGCTAAAACCGGCGAGACATGCGTGTGTGCGTGCCACGTAATGTCCACGTAACACCGCGGCCTACGCGCCTGCGATATTCGGAAGTCGCGATTGACGTACCTACCGCGGTGGTGGCGGGACGACGGACGGCGGATGGCGGCGGCGGCAACACGCGTACGGCCGTGACGTTGGTGCTGGTGCTGGTGGTAGTAGGAACGGGTGGCGGCGAGGACTGAGGAGGCTGGAGGACGTGCCGACGCGGTAGTGGTTCGACGCTCGTGCGTCGGTGGTTGCGCGCGCGGTGGTTGAGATAAGCAGCGCGGGGGACTGAGTGCACGGCAAGACCGGAGTACCGCAACCGGAGATCTCGCGCCGCGCCGTTCGGCTGCCGCGTACGCGCTCTCTCGCTCGCTCGCTCCGCCGCGTCTCACATATACCGCATCCGTCGGGTCGGCAGTTCGTCGCGGGACACGGTCGACCGATCGTTAACAGTCTCTCTCGCCCGATGTGACCGGAGGGTACTCGCGATGCTCAAGGATCACTCACCGATTACCCAGGCGCTCCTCGGGACCCTGTTCACGTGGGCTCTCACCGCGGCCGGCGCCGCGCTCGTCATCGTCATTCGGGGGAAACAAGTGAGTACCGAGCGGTGGATTCTTCTCTCCCGGATCCCGGTTGTGCCCCGTTGACGATGACGCTCCCCCACGTCCGAAACGCCGTTCGCGTCGAATCCGAGCCCGAATCGTCGCCGTCGGGGAGAACTTAACCTTACCGGCGCATCCGCCCGTGCGCGAAACTCGCATCTTCGAAGCGAACACTCGAAGCCCAGTTTTTCAACTGCGGTAACTGCACGCCGTGCACTCCTACGTGACAAATGCGCGTCTTTCAGCTGCACTTTCTACACCTTTGTTTCATTCTCTTCTGAACAACACTTGTTTCGAGGATAAAAAATATAAATATGAAAAGTAATAAATTGTATTTGCTCTCTATTTTTGCGTCGAAAACCTTGATTTTAATCTCTTTGCTCCAAAAATACGAAAAAGTTGAAAATGCAAGCCTATTGGAAAACCAAGGCTAATTTAGTGTTGGTTAATCAAATTGAGCTAATTAGCTCAATTTTCGTTATGTACAAATATGGAAAGAAACTGTTTGCAACTTCGTATAATAAACACGCGCTCGTATTGACATTTCTTCCTATTTGTGTAAATTCCTTGTAAAAATAAAATTAAAATCCTTTAATCAATGACATTTTAAAATGTCAACGATATCGCAATTCGATATTTTCCAACGCGCGCAAAATATCCAACCTCAATCGTCGACAGATCGCCGACCATCCTCGAGGGATGAGGTTTCTCTTGCAGGACGGACGCAAAAACGCCGGTCATTTGCGTAAGCAAGACTATTCCGGCACGATCCTTCGTTGCATTTAAATTTAGATTCGCTGCTTCGATTAAATCGCAGCTGCCGCCGCCGCCGCCACTGACGGCGCGCGGCGATTGGCGGGCCCGCGTAATCCGCCGCTTCCTTCGTGCGATTTAATTCGCGCGCGCGTACGAGACACACGAGTTGAATGTATCGTTGGTGAGAGTCGTATATACGTGGCGCACGCTTTCACGTTCCCATCCAGACGCGGATTGCGCGCGGCCGTCTACGATCCATAGGGCCGGTATCACAGTCTCCGATTAACGTGATCCTCCGATTAAACTCACTCTGCATCTCTTTCTAACTGTCCCCCTAGAAAGAGACGAAGAGTGAGTTTAATCGGAGGATCACGTTAATCGGAGACTGTGATACCGGCCCATATGGACGGAAAAGTCGCGCGAACGACGATACGGAGAAAAAAACGAGAAGCCGTATCGCTACGTTCCGGATGTTAAATTTTGCGCGTAACCGGTCTGGGCGGGCCCACGCAACACGCGCGGCAAACTTCGGTAAAAGTAATAACAAATTCTTGTTTCATCAGGCTAACGGCCGTTCCATTACTGTGTTGCGACTGGAATCGTAGATTTTTTAAATTATTAACACTAAAATAACCAACCTCGTCAAAATGACGGATACAAATTTCTTGTTTGAAATTACAGAAATTATTAAGATGCTTTTGTTGGAATTTACGTTGATTTTTGTCGAAATAAAAAAATTATTACATGTGCCAATTTATTTTCAATCAACTACTCTAATTTCCAAGTTCTGTATGTAGGATGTTTACTTATACTAAAATAACTCTGTTTTAATATTAATATCCTCGATATTTCTTGGAGATAATTTTCTAACAAATAATGTGTGTGCCTTGCAGTATCGTATTTTTAATATAATATTACATATTTTATTGTGCTATCCGTGTTTCAAGTTTAACGATAGAAAGTAATTTCTTAACTTCTTCACGAAATTGTCGGATAGAACTTAATTTTATCTCGTCTTTCTCTAACTCTTACCCAATTCTTATCCTCTTCTCTAGAAATTCTATGTTTTTTCCTTCCAAATCTAATCAATATTTACTTTTGATATTGAGACACGTCATATTACTTGATCATGATTGTTTTAAAACTGTCCATACCTAGTCCAGGACTCCTATGGACGTCAACTTAAAATACCCAATATGCAGAAATTTATTGTCAAGGTTATCGTCAAAACTTCAACTAAACTTCAGTCTGCCTAACTTCAATCGAAACGAATCTATTTTCGATTAAGATATTGCTAGAAGAGCTTAATTACAAAAGGTTGAACGTAAAAACTGTTGTCTCACGGTTCAAGTTAAGAAAAATTAAAATCAATAAAGTTTAAAAAAATTGAATTCTAATGTCATGACGTATCTTCGCGCCATTGCGCGAAAAATAATGGTTGCGTCGCTAGATTCTATTTACTTTTTAAATCGGTGCATTTTATGCTATCTTTTCCTTGATCTTTTCCTTGTTCTGTAATCTGGATACGATAGTGAGAATAGTGAGATAGCAAAATATATTTTTCCCTCGCGGTATCAATGGCTGATATTGATTATAATTTCCACGGAAATGGTAACTAGCATCCACAATATTTGCCTCATAATATATAATAATAAATCACCCGACATTATTTACGGTATAATAAATCCTGCTTCTAATTTAACGTTGAAAAACAAAGTACGATAAGATTGCAAATTTCCATTGTCAAGCAAGTACAAGTCGCGGAACTGTTAACGCTAGCAACCACAACCCCATCAAAGTAATGAGTTTCAAATTTCTTGTTTGAAATTACAAAAATTATTAAGTTACGTTCGCTGGAATTTATGTGGACTTTTGTCGAGATAAAAAGTGATTATATATTATAGATATGCCAATTTATTTTCCGTAAATTACTCTAAAATTTCGAAGTTCTGTACATAAAATATCTATAGACATATATCAAAACAACGCTGGTTATTTTAATGTTAAAGTAGGAAAATAACTGAAAGAAAGAAATCTTACATTACACACATTGATTGTCAGGGTTTGATTTTCTGACCTACTACAAACTGAATTAAGGCCAATACGAGTCTGTGAACACAGATGTTCATGCGATATCGCAATTATTAAACAACTGCGTTTGCAGGCTCGCATATGCCTTAATTTAATTTGTTACAGTTTTCATATAAATGAGCGAATTATTTATTTTATTCGTTTACATTATTTTAATTTTTCTCTATATAAAACAACTGTTATGAGCATGACACATGATGCAATAAATTAACGTTTTTGTACTTGGTTCTACATGAACTTCTTCACGAACTATGATGAATGACATGATGTGTGTGTTGTTTACAGTACGTATCTAATCTATATTATAAAAAATTGTGCTAATGTATTCACACATAGATTCCAATTCGCACGTGTTGAGTTTCAATCGTAGATATGCAAGTAGCCAAACATATCCATGTATCAGGTAGTAATATGTCAGAGTAATATGTCACGTAACTCGATAGATATTGCGTTAATCACAAATCCATTATCTCCTATATATATCTGTCCTATATATATATAATTAAAAGTTTTTAATTAAAGAAGATTATTATTTTTCTTTCATTTAATACATATATAAGAAATCAGTCCGCATTTTTCTGCACTGCACATTTCATGAGCCAAGTTAAATATCGAAAAGAGATTATTTTGAATATTTTTTTCGTCAATGTTGGGCAAGATCTTTTGGTGCTACATTTATTTTGTGGATTATTTAATTAGTATCGTAAATTTCGGATCGATCCGAGAGAGATTAGACCTCGACACTGTCGATCGCATATCCATCGTACTGATATACGAGATAAGAGTTACTCACGAAATATTGACATACGCGTTTTTTTATACTGCTTGCAAGTTTAATGTGTGCGCAATTCGCATCCCAAGTAAACACCTGCCGCACCCCTGATGTCTCGACGGAAGCTAAATCAGAGTTGCAGGTCTCTTTAAGTTTGACAAGGTCAAGAAAACAAACATGCACGCGATTCCAAGAGAAATCTAGATTATGGTTGTAATTGTCAGTCAATGTGTTATTTTTATTTCAAGGCCCGTGATACCAATCCCTGATATATATTTAAAAAACTAGCATAAATTTTTAAATACTATAGATAACGAAAAGAAGGAAATAAAAAGATTAGAAAATGACATGTCACTGATTAAGGTTCGAGAGGGGGAGGGTCTAAACGCAATTCTCTAAAATCTTAATTCTAGAGCAGATGTATATATATTCTAAAAATTATCAAGAACGATAAAAATTGTAGAAAAACACTGTTAAATTTGTAGCGTCAAATTATAGTTAATTTGAATCATTTCTAACTATTCCTATAAGTCGCTACTGATTCTACTAAAAGAAAAATATGTCATTAATTTAACTAAACTAAATGGAGTTAAAATAATACTATACTTTTGTGTTAAAATAATTTTCGACACACATGGCGGTTAAAAATAACAAAATGTTATTCAACTCGAGGTATTGATTTAAATTTCATCCTTTAATATTTAACAATGATAGTGAAACAATGTCAAATGTCCCGTCTCAGATTTAGATATCTGATAGCTCGGAAGGATTGCACGGATTAAAAGTAAATGGAGATTCATTCCCTTTCCTCAGTCCCTTCACCCAAATTTTCGAGTAAGGGAGCCGCTCATATGTCTATAATGGTTCGTTTCCGTTTCAGCGTAAGCTCCTCGATGTCAGCCTGGGGTTCGCCGCCGGCGTGATGGTGGCCGCGAGTTACTGGTCGTTGCTGGCACCGGCGATCGAAATGGCAACCGAGAGCAAGATTTACGGAGCGGAGGGCGAGTACGCGTTCGTGCCGGTCGCAGTTGGGTTTCTCGTCGGCGCGGCGTTCGTATACGGGACGGACGTGTTGATATCCACCCTCGGCATTCAGTCCCCCAATGTGCTTTTAGCTATGCAATCAGTCGGTACGAAACAAAGACGCAAGATCATTGCGAAACTAAAGAGTGACGAGGACTTAGACTATGATGATTATGATCCGTTGTTTAACGACGTACAGATATCCGGCGAGAAAATGTACGCTCGCGTCGAATCGACCGCTATCGATGGTATCTCATTTTCTTCTCCCGTAAAATCGCAGATTTTTGTTTCTCTCTCTCTCTGTCTTTATAGGCTTGGAAAATGGGATCAGTTCGTGATGATATACATACATATATATACTGTACATATATATACTCTGTGTATATGAACGTATATGTATATGAACGTCCACTCGCCCCTCTTTGCTTTATCGCAGATGTACCTGGTTCCTATTCGGGAATAAGCATTCTCTCAAATTGTTATTTTTATGAAAATTGTCATATATTATCGGTCTGTCTTATACAATCAATATATAAGTTACAATCTTTGCATGTAGCATGATCAAAAATGCTTACATAAAGAATAATAGTATGATAAAACTGCTTGATAAAGATCATGGTATAGACAAATTAAGTTTACAATTTTAATTTGACATCTTTTTCTCTCTTTCTCTCTCTTCTTCTTTTTTTAATAGATTCAAGGATGCATAATATGTATTATATGGAGGAATAAAAACCACAGTGGTATAAGTCAAATTTTTTTAAATATTTTCTCGCGTGCATAGATGCAATTTATATATTATACAGATTGCATCTATAAGTACACACAAGAAAATATTTTTAAAAATTTGACTTACACCACTGTGGTTTTTACCCCTCCATATAATACATCCCAGGTAGCACATACACGTTTCAGAAATGTTTTATAAGCGTTTTTCCGAAACGTTTCTCATGAGTAAAAATGTCCATTCGAAAAATGTTCGCTGGAACGTTTCTTTTCTGATAAAATAACGTTTAAAGAACTATTATAGAAACACTTTGTTTTAATGATAAAGACATTTTAGATAAAGACATTCAAAATTCCTACTTTTCACGTCTTTTGAACGTGTTTATGACGTCTTTGAAACACGCATGAGAATGTTCTAGAAGCTTTATGCATATACCATCTATGACGTCTATTCTTTTTCGAAGAAATTCCTGGTGCACATTTGTGCAATAAGTTAAAGTGAAACAAAATATATTTGTCTCATTCTAACTTAATTGCATT